TGGTTCACGTACAGATTCCACGGCCGATGAAGGAGAACATGAAGGACGCATAGCGCGATACTTGGGGTGGGATCTGGAACTCGAGAAGCCCGACGCAGGCGCCGAAGATTATCACGTATACGCCGATGACGATGGAGTGACTGGTTGCGCCGCCGCGATGTTAGCTATGATGTCGTGCGCCTTTCGGTTCCTACTACGCCCGGGCCGTCGCGACGATGGCGAAGCGAGGCGCGAAGCTATTGAGACGAGATGGGTGGGTTGGAGAATGCGCAAACGTACATGGAGGCGTTGAAGAACTGCGATATGCCGCCCAGAATCATAATCACACCTACGACGAGGTTGACGATTCGGCTGCGATGCGCGCCATGTCAGTGTAACTCGGTGATGGCGTAGGACTACAGCACGTACAAGGAGTCGGAGAAATCCATTGTGAATCTTTGTCTGCTCTCGCGAGAGTTGATGCGCTATGTATCTCCTCGGATGTAGTGGCGATCGGTGTTTTGTGTTGTGTCTGTGTCTGTAAAGGAGGCTGGCCAGGCTGGCTAGGTAGGAATAATAAGGTAGGTACCTAGCTTTGCCAAGGTATATAGGTAGGTAGGTAGCTTTGCAATCTGTGACAGGGGCTACACGTAGCAACTGGACCTTTGTCGTCATCCCCGATGTTCTACTACATAGTATGTAGGTACACGCCAAGCTAAAGTATCAAGCCACATGAGGCTTAGGTAATCCTCTCAGCATGGAGCCAAAGTACCTATTCCTGCTTCACTCTTCTTCCCCCCTTACTCGAATGAAGTTCACATCAAAGCTCCTCTCACCTCCACGCGACCCACGCAGAAACCATTAGGTTAGAAGACTCGTCGTCCGTCGATTGCCCTGCCCTGCCCTGCCCTGCCCTGCTCATTGACTGTGCTCGCACCCATCGCACAGTCACGCTATCATTACCCCTCGTCTCTTCCACACTACTTTATGCAACTAGAGTTTCCCAAGACCCTCCAGCACGCCCAACCACGAACCACCTCCCAATCTTCTCGCCACTCCCATCAACATGGCTCCCAGCACCACGATGCGAGCGGCTCGACCCGCGGCCCGACCCAGCAGCGAGACCGCAGTATGTCGCCGCACTCTGCCGGCGAGGCCGACTTGCTCGACCCTCTCGGTCAAGGCGTCCGCCCGGAATCCCTTGAGGAGCGGCTACGCCGACTGAGTGTCCGCGACGAACCAACCATTGGACGGGTCCCGCTTGCTGGCCACCGAATTGCCGAGTACGAGAGCGCCTTGACGCCTTCTGTTCCTAGACAGGCTTTGGGCTTCAAGGTCATTAAGCGCGCCGATAACGAGACAGCTCGTGTCAACCTAGATGACTTTCCAAATGGTATGCGCTCCCTGTTGCGGTCTCATAGTCGCCACGATTCTAATTGGGCCGTACAGAGATCCTGACACACATCCTCTCGCATCTGCATCCCGACTCGCACGCCTCTGTGGCCTTGGTGTCCAAACGATTCTACGCGTTGATCACCACGCCTCATGCTTGGCGCATGGCTTTCCAGCGCTTCTTCCCTGCTCAAGATGCTTTGATTGCTACTAGTAAACCACATGGTGTCGCTTGGGGCGACGACGACGACGACGATACCGTCCGATCCGCGATACGAGTCTTTACCCGCCTGACTCCGCATGCCTCATGGCGCAGCGAATACCTTTTGAGGACGCGTCTTCTCCGCAGTCTCGCTAGAGGAAGGCCCGGAGGGGTTGGTACGTCTTTGCGCTCCAGCCAGTCCGGCAAGAAGGCAACCGCAGTTTTGACCTACAACACAAAAGTACCCTCTGTTGTCACCCATGTTCACGCCACATTCAAACCTAACGGCAAGAAAAATCCGCGGGTTATTCATGGAGCGGCCGACTTGGGTGTCGGTAGCGCAAGTGATCCCACAGTCGGCAAGGTTGAAAAATGGGGCCTAGACGACCCTTTCGCTTTTGCCCAGTTGGATGAGGTCATGCCACAGCTCATACCTTACGGCATGGGAGAAGGTCCTGCAGCTATGCCTAATGTTATGGATGTAAGCCAGCCCTATGGTCTTGTCGGCGGCGAAGGATTCCCAGGTGGCCGTGTCTTCTTCAGGCCAACTGGGGAGTATAGAGGGAAGTATCTGGGCCAAGAAACTGATTTAGTTGAGGCCTACCCTGATATCCCAAAAATCCCTGAGCTCTCTCAAGGGATTTGCTCCGTATGGGTTGCTAAGTCGTCTTCTGTACCAACTGTTACTCAGTCTATGGTTGGTATCATGACTGGATCATCTTTGGGGGTTGTGACCACCTATGCTCTCGGTTATGACCCCTCGGGCCCTCGATACACTCCTGGTGAGATAAGCGCTCGTTGGGTGTTGAGTCCGGGTGTGCCTATTATCGCACTCAAGGTCGACGATAGCTACAGTCAGAAGCGAAAGGCTTTGAACCGTGTCTGGGCGGTTGCTCTCAACGCCTTGGGTGAAGTCTACTATTTGGCTCAACCTCCAAGTTCGCCTGTTAACAAGACCAAAGCCGACGATAGCACCAAGCTAGCCTGGCATACTGGGCGCTCAACTTACTGGAATCTTGTAGAAGCTACTCGGCGACAAGCACGTCCTGATGACTCGGGGAGAAACGCTGTGCGAGGTAGCTACTCTCCTAGGTCTCCTACCAATGCCATGAACCTCAACAAGGACCAAATGGTTGCCGAGGCGCGAGAGATAGAGAAATTCCTTCGGTACAAGCCATCGCACTTTCGGAAGGTCTGTTACGGTTGGGATATGCGTCGAAGATTAGAAGTCGACTTTGCTGGCGATGACGAAGTCGGCGCAGGAGAGAGTTTTTTTATTGTTGATTGTGCATTGGATGATGATAAAATGTGGTCTTTAAGACGCTTCACTCGGGCTATCATCCATCGACCTCAACCAAGCGCAACGCCTCCTCAGGTTTCGGAGGTTTCGGAGCTCCCGTCAGAACCAGCACCGCGACAATCTATATTTGGTGGTGATTCTGCCCGATCCACATCACCGAACTCTTCGAGTTCTCCTCTACTTAAACGAGTCCTGTCATCATCAGGCAAACAGTCGCCTTCGCCAGTTGCTACGGTTACAAATGCTTCAGACGACTGGATAGAGACAATATTCTCGTCGAAAGAGACTGGCAATGTCACCATCACCGCAAGTGCTGTTGATTTGTCACTTATGGCCCTAGTTGCATCGTTCGAAGACCCTTTGAAGGATGCTTCTGGTCCATCAGCCAGTGGTCCTAGAACACCATCAAGACAGGCATCATCAGACATCCCTGGTCGAAGAGCAAGATTGATTGGTTTGGGTACTAGTACTGGGAAAGTAATACTATGGAACATTCGAGCCGCACATACAGGTGATGGCATTTTCCCAGTCCGTGTCATTGAGACGGACTCGCCTGAAGTTTCTTGCTTAGCTCTCTCAGCTCTCTACCTAGTCCATGGTGGAAGTGATGGGCTTGTACAGGCTTGGGATCCCTTGGCTTCCACTATGGACCCAATTCGCACGTTGAATTCCCGTTCTTCTGGTCGCATGCCTCGCCATCTCCTTGCCCTGAATCCAACTCTAAGCGATACGAGCTTCTCCGCCGTCGGTGCTATCTATCTTGATCCCGACCCGACTATCCTTCACGGGATAGTGGCTTTCGGTACGTTTGTACGATATTGGGCCTACAGCTCTTCCCATCAAGCTACCGGTCGTAAGCGGAGGTTACGACATTCTGATGTTCACGGTCGTCCCACTGGGCGACGTCATGGTGGGGGCGTCAAAGGTTACATTGCTGCCGAGGCTGAAGAGCTTCGCGACGAACAGCAGCACAAGGCACGAGAACAAGCCCGCCTTAGGTCTCGCTTTGGAGTAGGAATTAACAACTTGAGTGAAGAGGAAGCCCTTCAATATGCAGAGATGATGTCCCAGGAGTCGTTTTTGCTTGACGAGCAGCGGCGAGTAAGTGCCAGCGATACTGGGTCAGCTGCAGATCTTGACACAACCTCAACAACTGGAAGCATGGATACTATTACGCCAGAGCCTAGTGTAGCCGACGCGAGTCCGCCAACTGGGAACACCAGTAGCGCGGTTGAGGCTATCAGCGAGAACGAATACGAACTTCAGATACAAACAGCTATCAGATTGTCCCTTTTAGAGGGCGTTAATGATCTTGGTCGGTCTCCCAAAGGGCAAAGTTCAAGCGAGTTTGACGGCCCTATCGTCTTCAAAGAGAAAAGGGGCAAGCGATCTTCATCTAGCTCTTTCTCTAGATCTCCGTCTTCGAGCCGTACGCCCATGGTCAACCGGGCCGGCTCATCTTCGACGGCACTAATGAACCCCCCTTCAGTGGCTGACGATGACCTGGAACTAGCGTTACAGCTAAGTCTTGCTGAAGAGGAGAGCAGGAAGGCAATGGTTCTTTTGGAGAATAGTGAGGATGAATTTCCTCCGCTCAATGGAGACGGGTGGGGCAAGGGTAAAGGGAGGGCGCTGTAGATGTTGTTGTGAAGAGAGGAGAGGGCTGTGGACATTTATTTCACTTCTTGCATCTCCTGTTTATTCTATTCTAGCCGAGAGGCTTGTTATTTTATGCTTATTATTTGTGAATTGATTTATCAACTTTGGCAATGCATTACAGCAAGATTCTATGAACATTGAAGTCCGTCGGGCCACTAATCAGACAGTGTTCTTCTACCAATACCCAGATCAGAAGTTATTTACCAACCCCAAGGACTCCAAGCTCAAACTTAATCGAGGTCAATAGCCTACCACAACAGCACATTCATGACTCGCTCACAGCCCCTCGAGCACATTCTATCCAATCGAATTACTCAGACTACAAATAACCAATTTCCATTCCCGCAGTCCACAGCCCTAGTTGAAATTATACCTCCACAAACCTTTCTTAACAATAATATGGTATCTATTAGCGTACTCGCTTTCACACAACAACGAATCACGATCTGTGCAGATCTTGGGTTCGTCGGTCTGGTGGTCTAGTGGTATGATTCTCGCTTAGGGTACACCCTACAGCTTAATATGCGAGAGGTCCCGGGTTCAATCCCCGGCCAGACCCTTCTTTTTCGTATTTTGGCTGCTGTACTTATGTTTCGTGTGTTTATAATCGTATGTTCTCTTTTTTTATTTTGTCCCTATTCAACCAATCTTTCTGGCTCTCTCCCCTTTTTCATCGTGTGATTGTAATAAGACTGACTCGCTGCTTAGTAACAATACATGCTTGGAAAGGGGGACCAAGATAGCATACATGAAATCAACTCGCGAATAACAAATAGCCACGATCCATAAAGCTTGCATCATGGTTGTGGAGAGAATGTATAATCACAATAATTCCCAGATACTTGTTAACCTTCAATAGCAGCCGCCTCTCCCGTGTCCTCCTAATAGGATTGTATATTAGCAGTCTAAACAACTTAAGATTAAAATCAAGATCTAGCTTACCGAAGCTGCCTCTACGGGATCCTATGATCATTAGCTAAGAGGCAACTCGTAGACTAAGAAAATAACGATTACCTCGTTCTTCTTGGCAGCCTTTTATCATCCTACGTTAGCAGACTATTAAAAATTGAAAGAAATTATCAGCTTACAAGAGCCTTCTCTAGTAGTTCCTGCAATCGTTAGCTTAAAATTCGCTTCCTAAGACAATTCGATCCACGAACATCTACTAGTTGATCCATCGTCTATAAGCAATTAGTGAAATTTGAATAACTCTAAAGCTTGGAATAACTTACACCCTCCTTTTCCCATTCCTATAATGCTATGTTAATATTCCAATTCAGTTAATAGAATAAAGTATGATACCTCAATCTTCAAAGTCCATTCCTTGTTTATAAATGTTAGCTATCATTCTCTTTTTGTTTTCTTAGAAGACCTGATAGTAATTACGGCGGCTTTCTCCGTAGCTTGCTGCGTTAACAATTAGCTGTGCTTGACTTAGAAATGATGCGACCATAGGATCATAGAACTCTACCTTGATCTTGAGCTCTGCCGCCTAATAACCAAGAGTTAGTTTGCAAAGATAAAATCTAAGATCAAATAAAACCTCCCTTCTTTTCCATAATACCCTCCTATTAAATTGTAAGTTTCAGTACTTCATATGATCTTTCGGCTACACTTACAGCCATCTTTGCCCTGAAATGCTATTTCCAAACATAAATCAGCATGAAGGAAATAATTCGCTTTATTTAGAGCCAGATGGGCACACATAAGGAATGCATACCGCCAATTTCCACTCTGCGAACTGTTTTGCATGTGAGCCCTCTTATTTCCGAAAGGAAAATAATCATTTCCTACTTCTCTTGTGCCTGCTTTGGGCTTAGGCTCAGGCTCCGGCTAGAGATTGAAATAAGTAAGTAGCTTATAACGCAGGATAAGTCATGAACTCACCGGCTTCTGGCTTGTTCTAGCCTAAAATTGTTAGGATAAACAATTAAAGTTAGATTAGGATAGAAATACCTCGTCGCGCTAGTTTCAAACAAGTAGTTAGCGGATATTCTCATTAAGATATAAACCCTACTTACAATTCGCTTTGTTGGCAAGGTCTTTTAATTATCAATACGACAAGGCGGATACGCTTGAATAAGAATAGGGTCTTACAATAGAGGTAGATCGAGACTAATACTATGTTAGTACAGGCCACAATAAGGGGTGAGTGATTATAAAGGTCAATATTCGAGTAGTAACAACTATGAGGGCGTATAAACAATAGTTCAAGGTGTTTTGAGGAAGATACCTGGCAGGGGAAAATGTCGAGTGTCCATAGACAAGGAGTAATTGGAGAGGGGACTTACTCTATGCTCTTGGTCGGGCTATAATAGAAATCAGTAACATAATACTTGGAACTTGATTTCTCTAGCAGTAACTAGGAACGAGCCGCAGATGATCAACCAGAGGTTCCATGTAACCGGTGAACGAGTATTTCAAATATATAAATTTAAGATTCGGTACCACTCTCACGCATTATTTGACCACACGTATCCGAGAGCTCGTAATTTGCGTGATACCAGTTTGTCTTATCTGGCAGGAGAAACCGACTTCTACGAAGGAGACTGTGACGTAGGAAATGCCCCGAAGAAAAGGTTAAGTGTGAAGCACTTACGGTCGGCGCGCGATTTTGTTTCTATCATGACCGTTAGCTAGATCGTCCTGGTGAAATCTGTGTCAAGGAGCATGAACTAACGCGACCTCTACCGCCCTATATACACATATATAGGTGTGATTAGTCTCTCAGAATCCACAAGTCTGACGAAGGTCGAGTAGTGGGGAAGGTAGGTGTTAAATGTTGCAGAGTATAATGGCAGCGAACAATCGGAACCTACAAATGACTGCTGGCTCTAATCAGAGTATTAGCATGTTCCAATGAGAATAAATTTGAGTTTCGTCTACTCAGGAGGAATTATCCCAAAGCGTAATTGGACTAACCGCGCCAGAAAATTTGCGCTGTGATTGATTGCTAGGAACTTTCTAAGTATTCATCGTTGCCATATAAGATGCGCAAGCTTACGTTATTACCGAACTATTGTTTCAGGTTATTAGTAGATTCAAGGATAATGAAAAGCATTATCGTGATGCCGTAGACTCACCGGGTTATTATAGGACTGTTTGTCCACGATATTAGCGATTTTAAGGCTGTGTCTTGCATTTTCCCGGGGAAGGAATAGTGAATATTCTGCTTACGCTGGACATTGTGATTTGCTATCAATGAAAAAAAATTGTTAACCTTCTACTGAAGGCTGAGCTGGTTGAGATATAAGGGTTGGAATTGCCAGTTGGTTTCTTCGTTCTGCTTTCAATAATACTTAATAAATGCGGCAAACACGCCGATACAGGGGTAAACTTACAGTTCGAAACTGATTTGAGACACTATTTATGCGGGTTAGTAAATCACGTTCGTACAAGGCACACAGCAGGGGCTCGTCAACCTGGACGTTCACCTACAATAACTTGATCGATCATGAGAAGGAAAGGAGAAAAGGCGATGCGGAAGTCTCGGAATAATCTTGCTTTAGTAATGCCTCACACTACTCTAGGTTAGTTGCTCTTTCTCATTTGCATTCTACATATACCGAGGGATTCGCCAATGAAAGGAGGCATTATACTCCATCCGGGTATTATGTAGCACTCTATAAACAGTAGCTACGCTGATCATATGAGTTCACGTTAGAATGGCCAGGAGCTTTTGGAAATAACAGTCAAATTAACTTTGCCCGCTATGAGTTCCACAGTATTCAATAAGTGATGACAACGGGGACTAGATCATTGATTCATCAGTCTGAGATGGAGATAGGACAAAAGACAGTTATAGTTATATCACCATCTAATAATCATCTTACCCTCACATTAAAAGCGGAGAAGCCTCTAGGCAATGACTTTCTTTCTATGTGTTATGTGCAATGCCCGAGCAACATCCTTCGAGAAAAAGGAGTTATATAAACATCGTTATCATAAATTTTAAGAAAGAGCTATTCATTGAATTCTGCTCTAAAGTCGTATCCTACCTACTTAGCTTTAAGCTAGCCGGATTGCACGTCAATCTCAACTGAGTTGCGCCTATCCAAAAAGAAATACGAATCGAATTCTGACGGCAGTCTCCACTGAGCTGTTGCGTTCAGACACTCGGCACCTATTCTATGCAAGTCTTGCTTGCAGACCCGTAAAATCTTGAATATCTTCCAATACCCACTGAATAGGGGCAGCAAATGTGATGTCCACCCCATTCGGCAATTTTGCCAGGTCATCTTTGGCTGTATTATCCGCATCTTCTGGGTACGTATAACCACCTGGATATCTCTTCTTTCGAGAGTTTGATGTGCCATATTCGCAGACTCCTCTCCAGTCATCTTCAGGTCTGGCATCGGTACTACCCGTTACCAACCCGATAACCCGACCTCGTGAGTCAAATATAGCGGCGCCGGAATCTCCTCGGTCCGAAAATTTCTCGTATTTGGGTTCCGGGACGATCAACATTTCCCAGGCATATACATCCTCGCCATCGGCACTCGGATGTCGGATGACGGCCTCGATACCGCTTTTGGTACCAAACGTCAACCCAGTTCTGCTCCCCCGTTTGCCCACAATGCCGTGTCTTCCGAGCGCCTCTACCTCATCCCCTAAAACGAGACTAAGGAAGCCGTTCTCCAAGATCCGCTTCGATATGTGAGTTAGTTCCGGCCTACTTCCAATGAAGACTTTATTTTCCGGCCCGTTCACGAACTTGTCAGGATTGAGCTCGATTAAGGCCCAATCTTTAAGGTATCCAGGCCGTAAAGACGAGATTTGGAGGTTCGAGTGATACGCCAAGTGGCCGATCTCTCTTTCGTTTTTTTCTTTTATTTTCGCCAAATTCTCGATGATTTTAGCGTTATAGGCGACTTCCACTTGGAGTTCGAGAAGATGCTTCTCATCTTCTTCTGTAGGACACCGATTTTTCTTAGTCTCGTCGTACATGTACCACTGCTCCCATTTATCCTTGGCGGCTAACAACGGCTCCATCGACTTTTCTAGTCCTAGTTGGATGCGCTCTAGTTCCTGCGAGCAATCGGAAAAGCCAGTGTGATTAGCTTGTACATGATATTGCCGTTGTTCTCCTGAGAACTTGTAGCTTTCGTGTATATGGCGACCTCTGCTAACTACATGACGACAAGTTAGACCGTAGAATGTCGCTGATGTCTCGTCTCGTGACAGCTTCAGGTGCAAGCCGACTGTTCCTTGTCCCTTGAGATCTTCAAGGTATCCAATAGGATAGCCTAAAGACGACAGCATTGGCAGAACAGCCTCATTCGTTTGCCCGCTGCACCAACCCTCGGTATCGATTTGGGTCTCGAAGTGTTCAGACGCAGCATGGTGTTCGTATCTCCCTTCGCGAATCTCAACCTCGACATCAGAAATCCCAAATTTTCTAAGGATATCACGGCATTCTAAAGCAATAGTAATACCATCTTCCCATTGGAGACTATCTTTGTCGACCGCAACTAACAGGACAATGTGGCTCTCGGGTCGAACTTGACCTGTATATTCGAAGCCAATGCGTATCGGAAAGAAATAATTCCAGCTACATCC